TATTTATTTGTTGATGGAATATTTGTGAGTGTGACATTTATCATTCAACATTTTGTAAGATTAATTCAAAATCTTTAATATTAATAAAGCAGTTGTAATGGCTGCAGCTGAATGATCTTTTCCTAATAGTCTAAAAAGGAGTCATGTCCATAGATTAAAGAATATGGTTGAGAGATATGAGATTGATGATGTCGTAGTGTAGCATACGGTTGTAGCTGAGACATTGTATCTTTTGCTCAACATGGGAGAGAACATTTTTAGAGTTATTATGATGGTTTGATCTCTGATATTTATAGAGATTATATAATATATATGTAATTATAAATACAGACCGTTTCAGTCTGTTATTGAGCAACAGAACAACTATAATGCAGGTCTGAAGGCAGTAATCCGGCCGTGCCGGATAATTACTTGATCCCTACATAGCAGATGGAGGTGTGTGTGTGTGTGTTTTATAGTACAGACAAGCCATTTATAATGTAGTTCCCAATGTTCTAGCAAACATATGAGCAACCATAAAGTGTTTTCGATTGCTGTCCTGTATCTGACATCCGACCAGCCTTAACATCACTATATGTGAACATTATTATGCATGTGGAAGGGAGAGAGAGCAGCTTTTAGGTGAATTGGGGTTGTAGCCTACATGTAACATGGTACCACAGAGACAGAGAGTCTCAGGGGAGGAGGGGGAGGAGAGGGAGGAGAGGGGAGGGGTTTCCATTTCACACATCATGTGAGCAGAGAGAGCCAGAGAGAGATTGCAAACCTTTCTGCTGTTTGTGAGAGAGGACGTGAAGGAAGGACGCAGTAACTCATTTACCTTCCATCACTACTCCATTGTCTTTCCAGATTCAAATTTAACTCAATTCAACCCAGTGACTGGACAGGATCAAAGTGATTATCAGATGTTTTCAGAGGGAGAAACAACCCTGCCAAAGACACACTGGAGACCAGAAGTTCTGCTTTCAAAATAAAAGCACAACAGAACAGCACGTAGGGCAGCAAATGAGAAAAATTTATTTAATGTATTAATATATAAAGACAGTTTAAAAGGCACAATTTATAAATCATTATCATAGATTATAGTGTTTTATTAAAACGTTAAATATGTGAGATTACATACATTACCTTCATCTAATATCATAAGATTAATAAGCACACAAACCCTGTTCCTACATGCAACATTACTGGACAAAAAGAGTTGACTGATAACGACGTGTAATCATTTATTGTGTTATCTTCAAGATGTAACATCTGTCCCTGAAATACATACTTTTTGTCTCTTTTAACCTATTTAGACCAAATACAACAATAACTAACTAATACAAATATTAACCATGTAAATTATTAGAGCAGAGCTTTATTTTATGGTTCTGAAAAATGTCATATTATAAGCATTTTCTTTAAATTTCATGGAAATAAAAAAAAGGTTAAGTTAAGTTAAGTTAAAATAGGGGAAAACAGCTAGTGTTTGTTAGTCCACAGCAGATCATTGGAATGCAAATGCTGTCTATAAGCAGGTGACAGAAACAATACAGCAAATCCCACAGGTGGGGTTAGTTATGGGTCATTCATTCATTTATGAAATTACTTACTCTCACATTAACAAAATAACTCACAGATGTACAGAGGCAGACTTTGGGAAAGCAAATAAACTTATAGACTGACTCAGAGTATTCATCTTAGAGGAGAAATAGACATACAACCCCTTATTTATTTATTTAATTTAATGTATTTATATTTGTTTCTTTCTTATATCTGTATGGATGCATGAATGTATGCATGTACATAAATATTTGTGCACATACTATGTGTGTGTATGTGTATATAAATGAATGACTTGTTTTTCTTACTTTTGGGTGTATAGAATACAAAAATAATAATGAATAACAAGTACAAATATTTTGTGTAAAACTACAGCAATCAAAGCATTTTTTGATGTTTCCAATAATAAATAAATAGTGGATTCATATCATTCCTCGGAAGCTTGGACCTGTAAAATAAAGCATTGCCATTATCAGCTGTATCCAAACATCACTCTCTCGTGGGACTTTATTTTGAAATGTCTAACCAGAAGCAGCATATCTGTTGTGAACCGGTTGGCTTGACAACGGAGAGACAGAGGAGGAGGAGCCTGTCCACGTTGGAAACCAATGACAGGACAGGTAGCAACAGGTGAGCAGCAAACACACACTCACACACACTCTCTCTCTCACAAACACACACTCACTCTCTCACTCACACACACACTGAGAGGAGAGGTGGCTGCTGTGCTGAAAGGCTCCTGGGACTCAGTTCCTGTCTGTGTGACAGGGAATTAGAGAAGCGAGGACCATTTCAGCCTCGGAGGGGAACCGGTGGAGATCTGGACTATTACCGACAGAACAATGACACTATCGGAGCGTTAGAGTGTGTGTGAGTGTGTGTGTGCAGCTGTGCACTCTAACCTGATCGATTATTGATCAACTGTTTTGTTGTAGATTTCTTTGCAATAATGTTTGTAGAAGAGTTTTAAAGCTCATCCAGAATCCGGTCTGAACATTAGAGGATATTCGTGGTGAGGATTGTATAAAACCTTGAACCAGACTTTAATCCCAGGACTGCTGACTCCACCAGCACCATGCTCAGCTCGGAGGGCCTGCGGCCGGCCCCGTCCGGCAGGAAGCCCCTGGGCAAGCTCGCCTCCCGGCTGGAGGAGGTGAAGAACCCGTGGCGGCAGGGCTCCACGCTGGAGCTGAGCCACAACGAGGCGGCCCGGCTGGCGACGGACGCCCTGCTGGAGCACGGGGAGAAGGAGTACCGCAGGGTCCTTTCCGAGGAGCGGGAGGTCAACTTTCTGTCCCCGCTGGAGGTCCGATACATCACCCAGCATGCGGCCAAGGCGTGCAGCTCCGAGAGCAACGGCACCGGCCCCAACGACCGGGACTTCGGGGACGGGGACGCAGTGTCCGAGCTCACCTCCGGGACTTACTTCCCGATGATGTCCGACGAGGAGCCGCCGATGCTGGAGCTCGGCTGGCCGGACTCCCCGGCGAGATACGGACCGTCGGAGACGCAGATCTACTTCCAGAGGGACAAGTCTCACAACGTCAAAGACCTCATCAGGTCCCTGATCAACAAAGCCAAGAAGGTAAGAGCGCATTGGATGTGGGAAACATGAGAAGACTTTCATTTAAAGTCTACCATTTTACTGGAATAGTTCATAACTACATGGATATGTAAAGAGGTTGTATCAGGTTAAATAGGGAGATTATGTAGATATTTTTATATATATATATTTCTGAAATCAGACACAAATATGATATCTGTACTAATGTAGCCTAATAATGATTTAACCTTATTGAGCAACTTATTCAGCAACTGCCATTTAATCTTCTTAAAAGCTGGAATTAGTTGGGCACACTGATGCTTAATGAGACCTAAATAAACACTAATTGATCAGTTAATCAATGATAGAATGTAGGCTAATAGAGGTAACCTGGTTTTCACAGTCCAGGGGGCTGCAGGGGTCCTCAAGTGGACACCATGTCATTCATCCAGTGTCAGCTGGTGCCCTAAGGATGGATGGGTACATTAAATTCACTGTAAAGCCAAGAACTCCCTCGGTGACGTCTGCACTGTTTCCACTGGAGGTTTAATGAGTTCAAAAGCTTTTCCTCATTATTTACCAGTGACAATGCCGCCATTGAGCAGAAATAGCTAAATATGTTCTGCTCATTATTACTTTATTATGATGTTCGAGCTTTAGTTAAACTAATGTACTTACCTACAAGATGACTTTGTGACACCTTAACTAGTTTGATTTGACTAGTTGATCATGATCCAAAATACAGTACATTAGATTGTGATGTGGAGGCTCCAGTGCACATACTTTATTTGTACATCACCTTTCCCTCATGTCAGTGCATTTCAAAGTGTTTTTACAGTTCATTGATAATCTGATAATAAGGTAATACAAATATAAACAGTAAATCAATTTGAGGCTAACACACGTGGTGAAATAATAACTTATTTAATTGTCACTTTACAAAGCCGGGTTGTACAATGAAATTCAGGTCTTAGTTCCCTTCATCCTACTCATAAAAACAAACTTTAAATGAGGGAGAATCATTTTTTTATTTGTATTAACACGTCTGGATCTTTTCCTGACAAACAACACGATAAAGAAATCATTATTCCTGCTGTCAGTTGGGAGTTTCTCTGTTTTCCACTCTTCCACCTGAGCACGTTCATCCCTCCCTCCCTCCAGTGGTTTCCACTTGGTTTGCTTACAAACAAATGCAGCAGGCCCGAGCAGGTCCGTCCTCCCGGCTGCTGTCACGTTGGATCAGCTCTTATCTCCCTCATGGCACCGAGGCCGACAGCTCGCTCTGTCACTCATTTAACAGCTGACCTCGGCTCAGGGATCAGAAAAGTTTCATTCCCTAATCACTGGCTTTTAGTGAGGCTGACCGAGGATGGATTATGAGACCAGAGGCTGCGTTTTGTGTCTGTCTGTGGAGGTTTTATGTCTCTATGTAGTTGTTTTTAAATGTGCATGTGTCATTTTGTGTCTTTGTGAGACCTCTTTTTGTGGTAGTTTGTGTCTCTGTGTTGTCATTTGATTGGCTGTCCCACACGGTCACTTATGGCAGCCTGTTCAGTAATCCATCCGAGGGCATGGTGGCCACTTTGGATGCTGTAAAACTAAAATGAAGTTAAAATTATTGTTATTATGAGTTTATGATCACTGTTACGAAATTGTCTCATGATATCTAAACTGACCACATAACAGCTGTATAAGAAAAACAATTGGTTTATTGGCAGACAGGTTGCCTCTGAGTCACAGACACTTCCTTATTCCCTATGTGTTAATAGACTTGTTATATGCATGAGTCTGTTAATAAAAATAAAAACAGTTGAACCAACAGTGAGAGAAAACTAAACCTGTCCAACCCCTGCAGGAAATATTCTACAAAATGTAGAAATACAACAAATTGGAGAAGCTGCTTTCTGTCGGCTCGGTCGTCACATTGACCTCTTTCTCACGTGTTTGTGCCGAGTCAGCAGGTTTAAGATCAAATGACACTCTGAATGCAGTTCATCAGTCAGTGGATACAGCTGATAAACAGAACTGCACATTTGTTCACTCAACTTATCTAAAGTTCACTTCAGTGTGACATTCACGAGATTATAACAACGAATGAACTTTGAGTTTCAGTTGCAGTGCATTCTGGGAGACTTACAGTAAGTTAAACGGCAGCAATGGCCTTCAGATCCTGGTCCTGCCTCGACAGCATCCCTCTCAAAGTGTCTTTTAAAACTTAAATGTGTAACATTTAGAATGTAATGTAATATAATGATAAATAAATATTAATAGTAATAATTACTCCTACATGTTTGGAAGGCGAGGGGGTTGCAGTCAGCAACTACACTGCTACAAGCCACTAAATCCTACACACTGGTCCTTTAACTAATTGCCTTTTAAGTGCTCAGTGAAACAGACTTCCTGCGTACTCCAGCTGATCCATTCTGTGAGCTGCGTTCTGTATCTGTGCGTTCAGTCGTTTTAAGTGTGTTATTCATTTGCACACATATGTGCCTGTGGACAAGAACGTGTCTGTTCCTGTGTGTATGCTCACAGCTATGTGCTGTCTAACGCGTTCTTGGCATGTGTGTGTAATAATGTTACATAAGGCCTCACATGCATTTTCATTACCACAAACTAACTGACACGGGGCCAGGTAGGACTATAGGAGTCCTATACTGGAGTACTGGCTGGTTTCAGGAGCTCAGAATATTAATAAAGCTGCCATGCAATATGCCTGACAAAAGCTTTTACCCCAGGACATCAGAACAGGTTAATCCGACCACGGTGACAAACTCGGAAGACTTTATGAATGTGTTTTGAAGCTGTAATAATCTTTTTTAATTTTTGAGTCATAAATCTTTGCTAACAGAGTCGTAATTAAACCCTCATCCATTATGTTAGCAATGGCAGCCTCTGGGGTAAAGGGTTGATGGTTGAAACATTATTGCATTAAACATGAAACAACACATATTATTCAGGAGAGCAATTTAAGATCACTGATTATTCAGTCGATTATGTTTTCATTACAATGTTTATTCTATAAAATGAACTTGAGAACGTCGGTCACCGTTTCCCAGACTCCATTTTGACTTTTTTTTTTTCCAATCACCAGCCCGTAAATTGAGTTCATTCACAATGCCAGCGATCCCATGTCTTAGCTGATCCCCTCCTAAGCGTCCAGTTGGCAGATATCGTTCAGGGCGCCTTATTTAAGCTGCTTCCTCTGCAACCCGCCTCCACCCAGCTTTTAATGCTGTATCTGATTCTGTTGTCACTGCTCCCTTCGGTACTCTATGGCGGTCCTTGGATCCAAAAGTGATCCTAACTGAACCCCAAAGTGTTCAGTATGCAACAGATAAATTCCTCAGATTTCAGAGGCTGGAAGCAGAGAATGTTGTTTGCTTGACTTAAAATAAATGATTAATCAATTATCAAAATTGTTGGCGATTGATTTTCAACTTATTCCTAAACATCTAACTAATGTTTGGAGTCTCTGTTGTTATTTTGTGTCTTTCTTGTTGTTTGTGTCTCTTTGTAGTCATTTTTTGTCTGCGTGTCACTAAGTTTGTAATTAATAAATGAAACAACTAATCATTCCAGCCCTACATATTACAAATCTTTCCTCTTCTTCAGACTGCTTTCTTCATCCTACAGGGGCCCACAAAGGACAGAAGATGCGTTTATAAGTAATATAAAGTTTTAGCTGAAGAGTGGAGCCACAAAGAGGACCACACTCATGAAATCTTGATGAAACGCTGCATGCTAACGTCTCTCCTGTCTCCCTGCTGCTCCAGGTGATAGCGTTGGTGATGGACGTGTTTACAGACGTGGACCTGCTGTGTGATCTCATGGAGGCGTCCAACAAGCGCCGGGTCCCCGTCTACATCCTGCTGGACGAGAAAAACCTCGACAACTTTACAGAAATGTGCTCCGCGCTCGACATCCAGAACTCACACCTGGGTGTAAGTTTCACTTATACAAACATATGAGACAGAAATACACACTGAGCAAATATAATACAAATGTTCACACTGAGTTCAACTTTAGGTCCAGAGACAGTAAAGAGCTGCTTATTGTCTGGGTAAATAACTTTAAGCTAAAGATCAGTTATGTAATGTATGTAATGTAAAGAGTTATGTAATCCTTTGTAACTAGTTACAACCTGTAAATGTTCCTATCTAACTTTCACTTTAGCTCTGCAGTTGACCTCCAGGCTGAATGTCATGGTCATCAATAACGATTAGAAACTGTATCGGTGCTAACAGCACGACTGCAGGGATTCAGTTCGGGCTGTTGTGGTGAAGGAATTTCCTCTGTTGTGATTTCGACGGCTATTTTTTAAAAATTACTTCATAAGGGATACAATATTTTATCTCAGTACCAGCTTTCAGCTGAATGAAGTTGCCAGTTAACGGGGTCAGTCATTGAACCGAGATACAGACGAGCTCCAGGAAGCAAAAGCCACAGCTAAATGGCTAATTGGGTTAATTAGCAGACCAGTATTTTCTACTAAAAGACTGCTGCTGTTTCCAGTCGGCACTTTTTCCACAGCGAGTGAGGCGGAGGCTACGTGACCTTCAGACAGGACTTCTACTGTGTTAACTCTCTTCATTCTTCACGCTCTCCCGTCTCAAAAACAGTGTCAGTGTATTTACTTTGCTTTTCCTTTCTCTCAGAAGTGAACCAAATGCTGAGATAGTCTATACAGAGTCTACTGTGTATATTTTTTTAGTTTTCTAGCACGCCTTAAAATCAAGAAGGCCTCGCAACCGCCTATGACGCTTTGGCGACCCCTGGTAGGGGTCCTGACCCCCCCACTGATCCAGAGGATGAATCCTTTACCTTTACCTTTAAATACTTTGGTTGATGACTTAATTCCTGCAGAAAGACATTCCCATCAGCCTCAGTGATACTTTGTGTTTAGTGCTAATAAGCAAATGTTAGCATGGTAACACACCAAACTAAGATGGTAAACATTGAATCAGCATATTAGCATGTTAGCATGCTGATGTCGTGCTCAAGTACAGCCTCACAGAGCCGGATGTAGACTCTTAGTCTTCTTATTACACCGTATTTCAATTCCTGATAGCCTGTTAGCTAGCGTAAACTGAGCTGTAACTCAGTGTAATTGAGTGTTTTGCAACCTCAGCAGTATATCTGTCTCTACACTCAACTTCTAGAAGTCACACAGAAGTGATAGAGGAGAGGGCAATGTGCAGCAGGACTTTACAGTGTGTGGTTTACTTTGGCAAATGTCATTTCAACCTTTGCTACGTGGGTTTTTAAAATTCTGTAGTAAAAAAACAAACATGATGGTTTATCTGCAAGGCATCTGCTCTGCTGAAGTGCTCTTTAGCAACAGAATGAAGCCACACCTAAAAACTAAAATCTGTCCTGTGGAGAAAAGATTATCCTGAGGACTGTTACCAAGAAATTCATTGAGAGAGAGAGACAATAAACAAACAATAAGGATCTTACTCCTTAAAGAAACATCTACTTCTGTCTGTCTCTCTTTCCATAATGTCATCAGAAACTTAGAATAACAATCTGAGCCTGTCAGTGGTAACAGTGAGCACTTTTAGTAGATGGACTGGCTGCTGGACCAATTCCAAAACTTCATTCCAATAGATCAGGTTCAGGTTCATGCTCAATATATAAAATAAAATACCTTGAATAACCCGGATATCGGTCTTTGAGATCAGATCGGATCAAGCAAAATAAACATTTATAACTAAAATTAACATTTAGAAGACTCCTTTCAGCTACTTAAGCTGCTAAATGTGTTTCCATTTTTAGTAGCAGTAGTTTTCATTATTCTTTGTTTTGATGTCTATTTGCTTTTCCCTTGTGTAAATTTTAAATGGTGTACAAGAGTTTGTGTTTTTATCAGAATCAGGCTACAAGTTTCAGATTTCCTGTTATCTTTATTGTGAGCCTGCATTTAGCGAGTGTGTTTGTGTGTTTCTAACACAGTGTGTTTGTGTGTTTGTGTGCAGAACATGCGTGTTCGCACTGTGTGCGGGGACACGTACTGCACCAAGAGCGGCAAGAAGTTCACCGGTCAGGTCCTGGAGAAGTTTATGATCATCGACTGTGAAGAGGTCATCGCCGGGTCATACAGGTAGAAACAAATACACACACGCTAACAATCATTAAGCACTTTCATTCACTAGCTTTGTGCCCCCTTCTTTCAATGCACCACTCCTTTAACATCAATGTGGACTTTAAATGATTAACTATAAAAACTATAAATGTTCTTTGGAGAGTCAGTCGGGAAATTAGATAAAGGAAACTCAAAAGTAAAAAACTAGAGATGTTACTCGAGGAACTTGCATAATTTATTATTATAATATATTATTAAAGGTGGTGCAAGTGATATTTTTTGTTAATAAGTGTTAAATACTACAAATTGATCACAGCAAACTCGGAATGTCAAGTTGGAAAGACATGAGCATTAACATGTTATGGAAGTTCTAATGAAAAACATCATTGAGTTGCTTTCTGGGAAATGTAGGATCCATTTTGAACCCGATACGAGTCGGAAATCAGTTTTAACGTTATAGATGCAACTACATTGTTACGCAGACCCCTGGATCGATCTAAATGTTATGAATCTGTTGATTGAAGCTTTGCTGCTAACAGCGTCTAAAGGTCACTCTTGTCAACGCCAGGGTTGCACTAATGTTTACAGTGCGCCATCAGATATAAAATCTAAAGTTTGGAAGACATTTGGATTCTATAAGATGGAAGAAAAGTTGAACAAAAGTCTGTCCATTTGTAAGATCTGTCAGACCGTCGTAGCTCGACTGATCTTAACATTTACCTGGTGAGATGGCACGGTGACACCTATGCAGGCGACGAGGACTCTGAGGATGCTAATACAGCTACCTTGAGTCCCTGAAGCCAATGCATCTAGATATGCATCAGATTGTCTAAGAAGGGACAATTGCATGGCCCTAGTTTCTGATTTTAATCTGTCTCTTGCAAGTCTTACAACTTTATAGAAGTGCAGTGTAAGAGGCACTTTGTGGCTGAGTAGTGGTGTGTGTTATGACGTTTAAAATGTACATAATGTTGCAGCAATCTAAGAAAGTCTGGAAGAAGCCTGGAGTGAAAAAAGATCAGCTGTAAAGAGATGTGTAGGTGGACTGAGACATTCGGACTGAACGCACAGTCAATACAACACATACGAACATAAAAATAGTTGTCTGACAGCAGCAGAGCCCGCGGCCTGCTCGCCGTCAGCAGTCAGACGGTTACTTTGCATCCTCCCCGATGAGCAGGACGATTACAGGAGGAAGCCATATTGTGATTTGCAAATGTCCGTGTGGGGATAAGCTGAGCGACAATGCTCGGTTTGTGCAGAGACGTGACTCCGCTGCTGTGAGCGAGGAGCTGGTGGTGGTATTTGAAACTGTTACGAGAATACCTGAGTAATACCTGTAGTTACAGCCAAACGCTCAACATAGCAGAGGCATTACTAGTGAGTGCAGTAAAAGAAGACAGGCAATGTCAGAAAATAGTCAAAGAAAATGCTTTATTTGAATCATTAAAAGTTATAATGTCTTTTTATCCGAGCAACCCAAAGAGATTCAATATAACTCATAAGTGATGATTGAGTCTATATATTGTTCTTTAAGGAAAATCCTGCACAGTACGCCTTTAAAATAGTTTGAATCAACTGATTAACTGTTGCAGCTTTAATCCAGTCGTGATATAAAGATCTGAGGAACAGAAGTGTCACTTATTCATCCTCTGCTTGGATCCATTTTGTTTTGCTGCTCTTTATTCCCTCAGGGAGAAGTGTGTACACCCACTTCTGTTGTGTGAGTGCGTGAGTGTGAGCGTAATGTACCAGTGAATCTGCGAGACAAACAGGGCTGTAAAACTCTGAGTACCAGCAGGAGAGAGGCAGTGTTGATCATGATCCCTTCACTTCCTGGTGTATTTATAACTTCTTCCTCAAAGGCCATTCTCATTGATAGCAGACTATTAGTGTTTTTTAAAAGTCGAACTTCTGGAGCTTTGTTGATAAGGTTGCATTAGACTTTGCCTGTCAGACAGGATCGTAAAGTGTCCTCATAATCTATTATTACCCATCGTTTGAATTTACATTTTTAATGATAAGGGGACATATATTCATTTTCTGGCGGAGCTATCACATTGGCACGCCACTGAAGAGAGAGGAAAACCAAACAGTGGACAGTTCCTTCACCAACGTCAAACTCACAGCACTTTGTAAAAGATCAGAAGATGAACAGAGACACAGAACGTTCAGTTACTTTTTATGTCAACACCGCACAAAGAAATGCGAAAGCAGCTCTTCCAGAAACAATTCAGATACTCTTAAATATAATCAAATAAATATATTTTCTTAAACCAGATTACTTTTCTAATGCAAAACATGCTTGACATTATTTTTAGTTTTTAGACCAAAAATAAGACTCATTTCCAAGGTCTTTGTCCTTTTGTGCAGTGAGCAGATGAAGGATTTTTGCCTCCTTGCTGTCTGAACATTATCAGTTGCATGTCCTTCGTCCACCATATCAATCCCTCTTCTTCTACAGATTCAGACAGATATTAGAAAGATACTGAGGGCTCTTTCACACTGGTTGTTCACTCTGAATCTGAATTGGCCTCATTTGATAATATGAATATGATAATGACATGAACATGTGTGCGGTTCTAGAAATCGTACTCCAGCTGCTCCGAGATTATTTTCAGTTCATATGTACCCAGGAGACTCACACGCACGTCGTCACAATATCATTAGTGACATTATTCTTTGATTTATCCCCTCAAGCTGAGAGGACAAATACAAGTTCCCATTCCCTGTGAGAAAAAGCAGAGTAGCTGGATTACGGAGAGGAGGAACAGTTTAGGTCAGACCGGTCTGAAAACTCTTTCTGCACATTCACATGCACACAGTTTACTTAGTTCAGAGAAATCAGGTACACTGGAAACATGTTGACACTATAGAAATCTGGTTTCTGTCAAATGTGTGTTCAGCAGCTTAATAATCAAGCTGCAGCGTCCCGTTTGCAGGTGCCTAGACCAGCGTGCTAGCCCCGACCCCCAAGTTCAGAACTACCGATTTAGGGCCCCAAAATGGCCGCCAGCTCTGCCTGCCTGAAGTCTTTATCCTGCCTACATGAAAAAATCCTATTCAACTGGTTTCACATAGCCAAGAAATCCTCATTCAATCTATCAACAGCTTTCATAAAGTGGCCATGAATCACAGGTAGTGAAGTAGAAATAAAGATATTGTGGATGACGTTGTGACTAATAATGAGCTGAAGTTAAAGCCACAGAGCAGCAGCCAGTGGATCCGGTAGCATTGTTCTCACTGAACCAACCCTCAGCTTATATTTATGATGACTAGAATAAAAATCGTGACACATATTTGAGAGTCCATATTGACACATTCTTTCATCTTTGTACTATTGATCAGCTGATTCGGGCGTGTCTACACCTGTCTGTGTGCCGCGCTGCCCTCAGTTTCCTTCCTCTTCGTCCTTATGTCACATCCTGTCCAGTCAGGACTTATTATATCTTTTATGTTTATATGATCAAATTAGACCCGATGGCAGCAGCCGAGTGTTTTTAGCTCACAGTTTAATGTGTTTTCAGGTGTGTGGCAACAGGTAGTCAGGTATGCAGGCCGACAGGCAGCAAACCACCCTGCTGACTGAGGAATGAAGGGCGAGGTTCACAGAGGTGCCAAGTGAACAGTCAAATGTTATCTTATCACCTGCGCCTCCCTCCCTCCCTCCCTCGCCATCTACACACTGTGATATTAAAACCCATGAACATGCCAGTTTACACTTTGATACCTGGGCAGTGCCCGTTCCCATTCATATAAAACTGATTGGTTTATTTGAGTAGCAAATAATACACACTGATTCACTGATATTCAGCAGATACTGTCGGTTTCTATCTGTTAATACAGAACAAAGTGTTCCAGAGATAATACATCACATACATGGCAGCTGTGCTTTACTTTAACCCTTAAAGCTGGGGTTGGTAATCTTGGAAAGCTAGCGAGAGAGCTAGCAAGGTTTGAAAATAGCTCCGCCTCCTGCCTCCTCTGATTGGCTCATGGTTCCACCCCTCTCCCCCCCTCCCGTAGTGTGTTGCCAAGCCCCGCCCACACAAACTGGACGTTAACGTTAGGCTACCGTTTACATCACCGCAGTTCTTGTAAAACGTAAAAACGCCAAATATATACGTCTTTTTATAACAATAAAATGCGAACACTGACGACTATCGGTAGAGTAATATCTTTAAAAATTCATATATATAATCTTTCAGATACTAGCGTCACCGACCGTTTAAACTCACAGAGACTAGGTCGCTGCGTACAGCGCGCTGGGTCGGGCGGCCTCGGGCGCCGACCTGCGCCGCGGCGGTGCCGCCGGTGCGTCGGCGGCCCGCGCGGCGGCCGGTGCCGGGGGGGCCGGCGCGCGGCGGCCCGCTCGGCTGGGCCACGGCGCGTGCGCCGCGGGCCGGGGGGGCGCGCGGCGGGCCGCGTGGGCTAGGCAGAGGCGGCGCTTATTAGCATTTACGCTGTCACAAAAAGTCTATCATATTCCATGAAGAATAACAAATCATCCCCAAATGCCAAATTAATATATCTACCGGTGCAGCAGGAGAAGAGAGCAGGCACGCGTGCACACTTGTTCAAGACCACTTCTGATCCCTCATTGTTCCAGCGTCTCAAAAGCTAGCTGATGGACTCGCTTTGACCTCTTGCTTTATCCAGAACGCCTTTTTGTCAGCTGCCTGTTTCGATCCTCCGGCTTTCTTTCTTTGCCTTTTTCTCGGGGCAAACCGTTACAAGTAACCGTTACAAGTGCCGTGGAAACGGTACTCTCAGTTATTGCTGTTCTGGAATCTGGCGTCTCGTCTTGTTTCCGGCTAAGACCAGCCTACACGGCGTGCGCTGCAGCAGCAGGACAGATGGGGCGGGGCTGCAGAATCTAGACCATGCAAGGCATCGATTGGTTTTTGTTCCTTCGACCGTAAAGGGCACGATTGGTCTTGAAGGTTTTCTCAGTCCTGCAGCTGACAGAGAGCTCTGATTTTCTCCGTTCTTTTTTCTGAAGACATAACGAATTGATTCCTCTGACAACAGAGGGACCATTTCACCCAGTATAACAAAACGTGCTTCTGAACAGGATTGCCTACCCTACCTTTAAGCTCTATATTGACATGTAATTATTGGTTTATAACATGCTCTAATGTAGTTATAAAAACACCTCTAACTCCTCCTGCGTGCCAACCATAATAATAATAATGATTATAATAATAACAATAATAAAAATTAAAAAATATCAGACAATTAAAAATAATACAAAAATGAAGTGGAAACAATATATTCTATAAAATATAAAGTACATATAAATATAAAAATAAAATATGTATACTGTACAACTGTAGTCTGTTATAAAACATTTATTAAATGTTCATTAAGTGATAATTAATGCTAAACATTAATCAATTGGTTGTCAACTATTATTAACTAAATAGTTTCGAGTCGTTTTTTATGGGGAGAATATGTCCAAATTCTGATTTCAGCTTCTCAGATGGGAATATTTTCCGCTTTCTTTAGTCCTCTGTGACAGTAAACTGAATCTCTTTGGGTTGTGGACAAAACCAGACAGTGATTTGTAAATTTTTTTGACATTTTAATTCATTTTATGACAACAAATGAATTAAAGGAGAAAATAACCAACGGAGAAGTCAATAATGAAAATAATTGTTAGATGCAGCTGAATTTAACTAGAATCTACAAATATATCTACGGTATTAGAAATATTGATAACAGTTAAGTCCAATGTTAGTGACACACGAAATATGACCCAAGTCTGATTTTATATGACTTCTCTGGTAAAGTGATAATGAGTCTCAAACAACTTAATTGGCCTGTAAGACTCCTTTCTTCTTGACGGAAACAAACTATGATTTACGGTTCATGCAGCGAAGGCGTGCTCCGATCAGTTCCTCTTACCAGGAATTTAACTTGAGGTGACTTGAGTCCAACACAGCATGTGAGTGGCAGTGAGTGATTTATGACAAAGGAAAGCTGTCCTGCAGGTTCTGTTTGGCTGCTGTGAAACACACTCAGTGTCTCAGCATGCGTCTCCCAGAGTGCAGCACGCCTTTGGGAGGGTTTAACTGATGTGGTTTCGTCTCTGCAGAGATTATTAAAGAAGCTTTCTCATTTAGTTTTCATGAGGTTGTTTAAAGGATTAAAGATTGGAAAGTGGAAAGTGGCTTAGTTAAACTGGGGGTGTCAGGAAAGTTGCACAGCCAATGAGAGCAGCTCAACATGCGGTAAGTCACCTCCGCTGGCTCCGACAAACCGCCATGGTGACGACCACAAGGTGGGGCGTCAATAATCTATGTTTTGCCATAAAATAGGCCTTTTAGCTGCAACAGTTTAAAGAAGCAGCCCCGGCAGCACTTTTCAAGTACACACACAAAAATCTGTAGACACATATACCATACCAAGACGTACAAAAAAGCCTCTTGGTGCCTGACCTCAGACCCAACAGGAAGTCACACAATTAATATCAGTACCTCCTCAAGAGGTTCACGATGAAAGCTTAATTTCGTCCAACGTTGTGTCTGACGCGTGCAGCAAATATCGATGTGTGCTTGGTCAAAGGTCGGATGTGACTGACTGTACTGAGCTCAGACATTCGTATGATCCTGTAGCTCTCAGTCTGTGTCCTCTGTTCAACCATTAGAGCATCGTTTCTGCCGCTCAGGCGTCTTCAGTGTTCGTGCACCTGTCTGCTGCTGACAGAGGAGCTGATGAGTCACCGCAATGACTCAGAGTCCAGGAAGTTGTTGAGGCTGATCTGCGGTTTTATCAGCTGGAGATAGAGGGAGATCATCTACAGACAGCTGATTGTGGCTGCTTTTATAATCCGACTCAGTACACAGAATGCAGACTTATGAGGGAGGGTCAGCTTCCTGATTATTAGGTGATGTCATTTCCTGTTTACCATCTTGCTATTTCCCATTCAGTTGTTTAACGAGCACACTGTTTTGAAGCACATGTGGTCAAAAAATGAATAACATGACAGAAGAGCAACATCAGAATGGAATGTCCACAGTTGATTACTTACATTAAGACAATAATTTTTTTCTGAAATGTTATGTTAAAATGTGCAAACGAGGTATTAGCTAAATAAAAATGGGCTAATTTACACACATTTCCAGACCAGAAATCTGAATGTTGGATAAAACCAGGTTCAAAATTCTTTTGTTGTCATATTAGAGACAAAGGTTTTTGTAATAAAGGGTTATCTAATGCTAACTTTTGGGGAAAACTACAGACACAAATAAATAAAGTGTAACAAATAAAAACCAAAATGTGTTTTTTAAGCATTTTCTTCAGACGTGTTATGGAAGCAAAACAGCCCAAAATCTCTAAACTGACCAGTGTATGAAAGAACCTGAAAATATACTCCTTTGCTGTATTTCTTAGAGAATATGCTAAATAAACTGAGTTTACACCAGCACACTCTGTTGTGGGCCACTCAGGGGCCTCATACTGCTTTAGGTCATCTACTGTACAGCTCACTGGCCTCACTCTTTTTCCTCCTCCTTCCCGTCTCCTCTCCAGTTTCACCTGGCTGTCTGCTCAGGTGCACAGCAACATGGTGATGCATTTCTCAGGTCGCATCGCCGAAAGCTTCGACCGGGAGTTTCGCTGCCTGTACGCCGACTCGCAGATCATCGACTGCTTCTTCAACGCAGAAGACGAGGGGATGCCCTACTACCCGTCATACCAAGGCATGATGGGCCCCGGCATGGGCATGGGGATCGGTCCGGTCATGGGTCTGGATTTACTCTCAGACAGGTATGACGCTTTAGCTCTTGGTAAAACATTATTCTGATATTTAAATCGTACAATCACCCTGAGAGTCCTGGTACATGTTTCTGCCAAGAGATGAATTTCTTGATGAACTGATTAATAATCCCAAACTGCTGCCATTCAATTGCTTGTTTTGTTCTATCAATCACAGTCTACAAGACATTGATGCACAGTTTATAATATCAGCAAATCTTCACATTTAAGAAGCTGGAAACCATGAAAATATCTTTGCATGA